TTACACCCACTAATTAATTTATTAATGAGAATTTATCAGCAAAGAATAAAAATCCTTCTGAAATAGGTACCTAGACTTTTTACTGGGTACTAATTGGCCAAACCTCACTGTTACATTCTAATTTTCTTATGAAGTTATGGTTTCTAAAATGATTGTCCTTTTTTAATATCTAGTATTTTCTTTGGATATCAAATACAAATAAAGACAGCCCAACATTTTCACTATGTGATAAAAATTACTAATATGACTAGTATGGTTGTAATACAACTGGGATGCATTTTAATTCATTAATTTGTGTCTCACAACTCTCAGTGTCCTTCCTCAGTAAATAGGTCGTGGTTTATTTTGATTATATGTTTCTTTTAAAATATTTTATTAGTGGTAGAATAGTTTATGGATCTTATGAACCATAATTGAATTTGAAAAGGTAACTTCCAAATGTGCTTACTAGAATATCCTTATAAAATAAATTTTGTACAAAGTTACTTCAAAAGTAAACTTCAAGGCTGGTATTTCTTTTCTTCAAGTATGCTGAAATTGAAGTATACATATTATAATTCTTTTTTAAAAAACAGAATCTAAAGCATCCTAAGAATAAATTTTATTGTTTAAATAAATAGTTAAGAACTTCTTAAGTAGATAAAATTCATTAAATCACACTTTTTTCTTTCATATTAATTTTATCTTTAAACTGTGGTGGAAAGGCCTAAATGTTATTTAAATGAAAACTTCAGTAAACAAGATTTTCACCATTTCTATTCTGTTTTAAAGCTGCAAATAGTATGAATAAAGACCCCAATGAGATATTTAAGTTTGTTTCACACAACTGGAACTGGAACTTTCTTCAAACTTCGTGCAGTGGGAGGAAATTTGGGGTTTTACCTACAAACATGCATCCCTGACCTAGAATGGGGCTTGATACCTTTCTTTACAGAAAAACAGTTAAAACAGGATGATCATCAGGATGATAACAATCATCTGTTACTGTCCAGAATTACTGTCCATAATGTGTATGTTAAGGTCTTAGAACTACCATTATCTATACAATAATATTTTTTCTAGTTGAAACAACAATAAACAATAATCATTTCTGGATACCAAGAAGCAAATACCATGAAATTCTGAAAGGAACATTTAGAAACTAGCATGTTCTACAACATTTCTTAGGGCATAAAAGTCTCAATGGAATTCAAGTCATAAATATACTTGGAGAATCAAGACTTGACAGTGTGTTTTTCAGGTTTAGAAAAGCAATTCAGAAGCAACACCACCCTAAAAACACAAAAGGTTCATCTGAGTAGCAGCACCAGCAGATTTTACAGTAATTCCAAATTGCCCACGGCATCTTTTTACTGGATTTCTGGTATAGGTTTTAGAGTTAAGAGGAACCAACTTGGAAGGGGACTGCAGGGAACATAAATAGCAGGTTATCTTTGCTCCTAATGTTTTCTCATACAGTAGTCAAAAATATAAAATAATACACAGTATGGTTTTCTCCCTGTATAATTTTACAAAGACTCCTAATGTTTCAGCTACTTTAATAAAATAAGGAAAATTCTACAATGTTTAAAGACTTTTGAAAAACAATTAGGGCATTTATCCAATTCGGAATGAGCTGTGAAACTCACATGTGATAATTAGAGTTCACTATAATAAAGACCCTAAATTTAAGACAGAATATTTTATGATAGCTAAGAGAACCAGGTGAAATGAAGATAGAAAAAAAAAAGTAACTTACCACAAAGTTTAGTAAATCATTTTAGAGGAAATAAAGTATTTAATCAGAATCAGTATATAAATTTTTGCTATCTAAAATATCATCACTGACTTAGCATGTCTGGAAATAAAAGGGTACATCCATATGGAAAAGGAAAATAGATATTTTATATACAGACAGAATTAAGGCAAATAATTCCTAAACTTCATGGAAAATATTAATACTCAGATTTAAACTGTTAACTAAATTTTTACTTTAATTTTCCATATAAGAGACTATTAACGTAGTCACTGAGTATCTTAATATTTCTTGCTTTTTATTTAATGATTTATCCTTAGACCTTTAAGACACAAAACAGGCAACTGATTTCTATAAAGGCTTTTGGCTTACATATAGGATTTTTGGGTTTTCCCCACAAACTATTAAAAAAGTCTTCAATACATGATCGGTGCTACATTTAGGAAAACAAGAGGTTTTCCAAAATCTTGTGCCAATAACAAATATAATCCTTAATAAAATATACAATATCATCTAAAAATGAAAAATCATAATGCATATATATAGTGCAAAAGTTAAAATGAAAAAAATACACAATCTGTAGTATGAGTAAATAACTGTCCTAAGGCTTCTAACAACTTCACTGCACCTTTACAGCCCTTTAATTTTCCTAGTATAACTTACCAACTGGAGTTACCTACTTACTGATATAGTAAATGTTTTGTTTTTTACTAACTTCAAACCTGTTACAGTTCCCCAGTTACACAAAGAAGTGCTCACACACCCAAACATTCACACTCTCAGAGGCTAAGAGAACTCTACACTAACTACATTAAATATACTGACAGCCACACAGACTTTTCCTTAGGGGCTTTTTGGGTATTTTTTTAATGTAGATGGGTGAAGCTATGTTAAGCTGGTGGCTTCTATGTATCAAGAAGAAGATGGTTCTACAACTGAGTCTGTTATACATGCAGATAAGGAATAAAGGACAATCTTATCCTCAATAATGATGTTCATGACCCAAAAAATTTGTTATTTTAATTTATGTGAAATTATAAAACATCAGCAATCACTTGATTATTTGTAAGTAGGAAAAAAGAAATACCAGGATCTCCAAAAGTCTTTGTGAGTCTATCCTGCATCTACCTTCCTAAAAAATATTTCAAGCATCTAATAAGATTTTTAAAAGATTAAAAAGACTTAGATTTTAAGTTGACTGTAGAAAAAGTAAATATGTAAAAAAAAAAAGTAGCACAATGCACATGTGAGTATTCACAAAGGGGTAGGAAGATTATGAACATATTGCAGTTGTTCAGAACAAATCCCTACATGGGCTGTGAGACCTGATAAAAGTTATTGTCCAGCTGAGTTTATGTAGATCTAAAGCCAATGAAAAGAAATAAGGATTATGAGGATGGGGAGAAGGACAGAGAGGAAAAGTCACTGACTGTGGAAAGAAAATCATCACTTCAGTACCAAACACCTTTTGAATGGAAGAGCTACAGTGAGGAATGACAAACATGCTCCTCACGTATGTCCACCCTGGAACAGATAAAGGAAGTAGAGAAGAAATGAAGAAAACAAATTCTCTTTAAGGAGAAAAGAATATAATTAATCTCTTATTAAATCTCTAAATAGTAAAGAGAAAACTAAAAGTGAAAATTCTATTTTAACCTCTGATGGGAATGGCTAAAAACATTTGGAAGCACATGACGAGGAGCAAGCCAGGACTGAACTCCTAGAAATACAGACTCAATAAATAATTACTTTTACTATAAAAATGGATTAAGATGTAAGTATTAATAGAAAAAATAATGCAATTAGCCATCATATGGGGATCTAAAGGGCAAGAATTTGGGTGCAAGTTTCTCAAAAGAAAAGACATAAGTTAGATATTGATGATATTTCTTTGGGCTTTTAGGAAAAAAGTAGGTAACTTTTAGAAAACCATTAATGATATTAGTGATATAATGATAAATTACCTAAGAAATAATAGTTTTTCTAGAATAAAAATATAAAGGATCAAGATCCCTGTTCCAAAATGTTATTACAGCTACAAGGTTTTTTGTTGTTTATCTTTCGGGGGCTGGGGCATGACACTGAGGTCATGACAGAAAAATGTAAAAAATCAAAATTAAACTAAAAGCTGTTCAAGAAAAAACGATGTATGCTTCAGTGATAAAATTACTGTCTAGATGATAAAATTTTCTAGTACATTTTGATATTTTATGGAAATAGCTACAGATTAGGCTTCTAATGACAAGCATATTAACAGCTACCTACAGATTGGAGAAAGACCATTTTAAAAGTTATCAAACTTTTTTTTTTTCAGAGAAAGGGGAAGGGAGGGACAAAGAAAGGGAGACAAACATTGATGTGAAAGAGAAACATCCATCTGTTGTCTCTCATACACAACCCATCTGGCGACCGAACCTGCAACCTAGGCACGTGCCCTGACTGGAAATGGAACCAGGGGCCTTTTGCTTTGCGAAACGATGTTCAACCAACTGAGCCACGCGGGTCAGGGCTTCATTCTCCCTTTTTTTTTTTCTTTAAAGACAGTAGGGGAGGGAGGGAGAAAGGGAGAGAAACACTGATTGATCAAACTAATTTTAATATGCTTCATCTTCCTGTTTTGGATGAAATGTAGTTGAGAATCTATCTATTATCAAGTCACATAAATCCTGAATAAAATGGACTCCATGAAACCAGTACATTCTAAATTATATCATCAAAATTGTCACATAGCTTCAACATAACATTTGGCATCAAAAATAATCAAATAATTATTAAACAGTTATTTATAGTTAATCTGTACATATACATATATAAATATGTGTGTAGTACATGCAGTGTGAATTCATATACACTTTGAAGTGTTTTTCTTAATTTTACATGTAACTAAAATAAAGAATACACATATATCCAACGGAGATTTAAATGTGACAACTGCTGGACAGAATCCAGTCAAATTTAAAGTAACAAAATAAGCATAAAAACTAATTTTACACATACAAATTTTTGGCAAACATATAAATAAGGGCACCTATTTCCAAAACATAATATAACAAAAGCATTATACAGGAAAAGTAATTCCGATGCTTTCATTTTTATTGTAGTCCAATGTAATTATTAAATTAAATCTTACTTTAAGGATGACCAGTCTTAACAAATTTAAAATATTTTTCCACTGGAAAATTTTGTATTACTATGACTAATCTTTCAGAGCTATGTATTTTCTTCAAAATAGCTTATGCCTATGTACAGAATTTGGATCACGTACCCATGCCTCTGTCTGAATGGGCTTGATGTTGCTTAGTAGCACCTCTTCATAGTTTCCATAATCGATGAATTTAACTACTGCGGTCATCCCTGAAGAATGGAGAGCTTCAACTTCTGCTCGGTAAAACTGAGGAGACAAAAAGGAGTTTTAAATAGGACAATCGACACTGCCTACTACAAAGGGGAATATGTGATGGGAATGTAAATAATGGAAGTGTTAGAATGTGTCATTTTTTTTAAAGGTTAGTTCTTCCTTAAGATTAATTACCATTTTGAGATAAAAATGACAGAGAACATTATATTAGTTCTAGATGTACAACATAGTGGTTTGATATGTAAATGTGTAAAATGATCCCAATAATTTTAATGTCTATCGCCGTAAAGAATTTTTTTCTTGTGATGAAAATTGTAAGATTTACTCTCTTAGCAACATTCACATGTGCAATATTTTAAAGAAAAAATTTTAAGAGAATAATATATTTAAGAAAGAAATCTTACCTTTAATAATCATGAATTAGCTAAAAAAAAGATAAATGATCTTATCCATATGAGTTCTGACATACACTGAGCAGTAAGTAGCAGAAATTCAGGACAGAGCTAGACGCTCAGTGGAGGAGAATGTTTGCATGCTAGTGGGTGCATAAAGGACTAGTGTTATACTTTGTTGTTAGCCACTGAAGTCCTCTGACTAACCCTGATAAGACAATTCTTATGTAATAATCAGAATAAATACTTAAGAAGCAATTTTGATTTTTTAAAAGATTTTATTTATTTATCTTTAGAGGGGAAGGGAAGGAGAGAGGGAGAGAAATATCAATGTATGATTGCTTCTCATGTGTCCCCTGCTGGGAACTGGCCTGCAACCCAGGCATGTGCCCTGACTGGGAATCGAACTGCGATCGTCTGGTTCCCAGGCCCGGGCTCAATCCACTGAGCTACACCAGCCAGAGCAGAAGCAATTTATTTTTAAAAAGAAATATATGGCAAAAATAAATACAAAGAAAAAGGCTCTTTGCCACTGTCTCCACAGGCAACTGAGGTGAAGTAAAGATGTCACTTCAGGTACGAAGTAAGCGCATTATTCATATCTAGGAGTTACTGGATTTTAGACACTGCAAGACTGGACATTTTTTATTGTTTCAGTTTACCCAGTTTTACTTGGCTCTGTTAATGTTAACAAACCCACAAGGAACTGATTTACATTACAAGTACAATTTTAAAACGTATTTGTTAAAGTAACTAGGAATAGGTCAACTAATTGGAGAACTGCTTCACTATGAACCAAACCATTTAGGACCTAAACTGTAGGTCGAAATGTTGCTTAGTGAACACAAAATAGAAATAAAAAAACTATTTCCTCTTAAGAAATAATTTTTTTAAATATTTTATTTATTTATTTTTTGAGAGAGGGGAAGGGAAGGAGAAAGAGTAGGAGAGAAATATCAATGTGTGGTTGCCTCTCATGTGTCCCCCGCTGGGAACTGGCCTGCAACCCAGGCATGTGCACTGACTGGGAATCAAACCGCAATACTCTGGTTCGCAGGCCTGTGCTCAATCCACTGAGCTTCGCCAGCCAGGGGAATAATTTCTTTAACTAGGTTAGTTGGAGACTCAACTCTAATACTATCTACTCTAACAGTATCTCCTAATAGACTCATTAGAATCAGAAAATGCTAAAGGCAACAGAAAGTCTTATTCTCCATATCCCTCTAAAATATGAGTTACCCTGGATATACCAGGAAAAAAATCTGTTTTTACTGACTAACTAGTAAACTTTTTACTACAAAGGTTATTAAGTTAATCCATGGTGTTTCCTTCCCAGGTCTGGATGCTAGGAAGTTTAGAGACATCATCTTGAAATTTTCCAATTCATTCACATCTCTCCATACCTCCTTTATTTCTTTAGCCTCTTCTGTGTTTTGTGAATTGATGCCTTTTTTGGACCTATGCTTTAATTGTAAGCTTCTGAGATAATTATGTCAGTTTAGATAGGTTCAACAAACAATGAGTCATAATATATCCTAGGAAAACAAACAAGTCGACATCTTTTTAGAACTTACACTTTCATAAAGACATGTCATGTGAAAAATGACTTCTAGCCCTGGCTGGTGTGCCTCAGTAGATTGAGTGGCGGCGGCCTACAAACTGAAGGGTTGCCAGTTCAACTCCCAGTCAGGACACATGCCTGCCTGGGTTGCAGGCCTGGTCCCCAGTAGGGGGCATGTGAGAGGCAACCACACATTGATGTTTCTATCCCTCTCCTTCTCCCTCCCTTCCTTTCTCTCTAAAAAAAAAAAAAAAAATGGCTACCTTATAATGTGGAAAGCACTGTAATAAAGGTGTAGTGATAAGATAAGGCATATGATAAGGCTGAGGTGTTTGGGGAGAGCTTCCTGGGGCAGATGACAATCCATATATAGTCTTTAAGGGAGAAGAAACTTTAGCCAAGTAAAGAACTGAGAAGGGAGTTTGTTCCAGGGAATGTTACAGAGACATAAAACATGAAGATGAGTGCAGAAAACTACAGAGAATTCAAAATTAATTACGGCATGATGTGAGAAGGTCAATCAGTAGAAAATCAGACAGGACAAGAAGGTTACAGCCAACTGACTGAGGCGCTGCATGCCTGTTAAAATCTGTATTTACTGTACAGGTACAAGATTTTACCTAGGAAGCATGACATGGTCTAAGTCCAGGACACAGTGGTGGCAGTTTCAAGGACAAGTTTAAAAGGAATAAGGTTTAAGGCAAGGAGACCAGTTTGGAGGTTGTTAGAGCATTCCAGTTGAGTGGGCAGAAAGAACTGAACTAGTTACGGCAGTCTAGAGAAAGAACTGTTCCAAGTTCTCAAATCCTTCAATGGAAATAAAGCCTGAGAGAAGGCAAGATATTGGGAAGAATCTTTTAAGTGATAGACTATACTAATTAATTAATCAGCTCCAAAACATCATTACCATTCAATTAAGATTATGATTTCCTAATGACAGTTATAGCTAATGCTTTTTCTTAAATCTTCACAACCTGGTCACTTGACTAGAAAATTAGAAACTTGCCTATTCTTTCTTTTAAAGATTATATTTATTTATTTTTAGACAGAGGAGAGAAAGAGAGGGAGAGAAACATCTATGTGTGGTTGCCTCTCATGCACCCCCTACTGGGGACCTGGCCCACAATCCAGGCATGAGCCCTGACTGGGAATCGAACTGGTGACCCGTTGGTTTGCAGGTCAGCACCCAATCCACTGAGCCACACTAGCCAGGCCAGAATGTGCTTATTCTTGACAAAGTATTTAAAAGCTATTTCTTAAATTAGGTGGCTTCGGAAGATAACTAATCTCATCTCTTTCAGGGGGTGAATACTGTTTATCTCATTGTTTAATTGTATAATCTATATAGTATCCATAGTCCCTCACTCTAAACTAAAATTATAAATCCAATTAAAACCAAAGTAGTCACCTTAGAAGATCATCCAATCATTCTAATAATACTCTTAAAAGCTCAAAATATCTTGGGAATTATTAGAAACTGTCTTTCAGAAGACATATTATTTTGAATACATTCAGTAGCAGCAATGGATGATTTCAGTATTATTGAATTTTTTGAGACAATTACAATTAAAAGTAAAGTTTTATTAACAATCTCATTAGGTATTTGAAGGTATATGGGCAATAGCACAGCCCAAACTATCTGATAGATCCCAAATACCCACTTAGCAGCTACTCAGTCATGGTTTATTGAATGCTCAATATTTGTTGAAGAACTTGTCTGCTAAGTCTAATATTTCAATATTTGTAGGTCTTTTATTTTTCTCTGTTGTTTTGTTTCTGTTCAATCATATTCTTTCTCTCTTAAACCATGCCTCATAATTTTTTATAAGATGCCAGACATTGCAGATAAAATATTGAAAAGGTTCTAGAAAATGTATTTTTTCCCTAAAAGAGAATTATATTTTCTTTGGACAGGCAGACAGAATACAAACAGATATCCTTGATTTTGTAAGGGTTAGTCTTAGAGTTTGCAATGCCTTCTTTGTAGTTCACACTTACTACTAGAACATGCTCTTTATGAGATTTTAATGGACAGTCCCAGTGGTTGACCAAGCCTTTCAAACATTACCAGACCTGAACTCCACTCACTTAGCTCCTCTGCTCCTCGAAGTCACCAACAATCCCATACTGTCCAATATGGAAAAAATTTTTTTCATTTTCATCCTAATCAACCTTTCACAGAAGCATCGGACACAAAGTCCACTCTGTGGTAGACACTTAGGTCTACAAATCATGAGTGAGAAACAGATAAATATAAGTAATCCCTTATTACCCAAATCAAATAGTTCTTGTTTTTTGGAAAGTGAGTAGTTTGAGTTGAAAGTGTAATAATCTAACCAGTAGTTGCTTTCCAGGCCTTCCTATTAGCTAGGAAGTAGCCATGTAAAATAGTTCCAACTAATGAGATTGTTCCAACTAATAGTTCCAACTAATTTCATCAGTTCCAACTAATGAGATTGCCTGTTGATATTTCTGGCAAGGCTTTGCTTTTCTGGAAAAAAAGAAAAACACAACCAGTGCTATCTCTGCCCCTCCTTTTAGCCTTGAATAAAAACTAGGCAATAGATGCTGCTACTAGAGGAGTATCATCCCCCATGTATATAAATGCTTTAAGACTATGCCACTTAGTTATACCATCTGTACCCTCCCTGCTGGTATCATCAGGTAACAACACCTAACATTCAGCTGATGCCTCATTATCCACTGAACATTATGGGGCCTGGTTCCTGATCCCAAGGCCTACAGCATCTCTTTAGACGATCCACCCACATTTCCTGGCCTGAATTTCAATTCCTTGAAATTTTCAGTTAACTTTGCTTCCACCACTTCTTTTAGTCACACACACACACACACACACACACACACACACACTCTTTTGGACACATTCTAACTTTATCAACTGAAACTACTTTACTTATGAAATATTTACCTCAAATATTTTTTCTTTTACCTGATCCTCACATCTATCTAGCTCTCTGTCACTGTAACTCCTTTACCTCTGTTTTCATTATCTTGCTGGTATCTCCAGTCCCCTAACCACTCTACTTTTTTCTTATACAACTGCTCCCTCAAAATTAACTAATGAACAAGGTCCAAAATGTTTATTAAGTCCCTACACTGTGGGAAAAAAGAAGGGCTGCAGATGAAAACTAAACAGACATAATCCTGTCTTTAATAAACTTAAAAGTATGGTAGGGGAGAGCTATCAATCCAGGAATCAAAATAAAAAATACTTTGCTTCTCTCTGATAGTTAGTAATGCTGAGCATCTTTTCTTATGTCTCTGGCCCCCCTGTATGTCCATGGAGAAGTGTCTGGTCAGGTCCTTTGCCCACTTTTTAATTGGGCTGTTTGTCTTCCTGGAGTGGAGTCATGTGAGTTCTTTAGATATTTTGGAGGTCAAACCCTTGTCGGAGGTATCATTGACAAATACATTTTCCCATAGAGTTGGTTCACCTTTCATTTTAATGCTGTTTTCTTTACCTGTGCAGAAGCTTTTTATTTTGATGATATCCTATTTGTTTATTCTTCATTTATGTCCCTTGCTCTAGGGGACACATAGGTGAAAATACTGCTGCATGGAATATCAGAGATTTTCCTGCCTATATTCTCCTCTAACTGAATGAAGAAACAGAAAGCCTGAAAAGACCAATAACAGCTGACAAAATCGAAGCAGTAATCAAAAAAATCCTGGCACACAAAACCCCTGGACCAGACAGTTTCACAGGAGAATTTTACAAAACCTTCAAGGTTTTGTAAAACCCTTAAGGAAAAGCTAACCCTTCACAGACTATTCCAAAAAATCCAAGAAGACAGAAGACTCCCCAAGTCTTTTTATAAAGCCAGCATCATCCTAATCCCAAAACCAGATAAAGACATAATAAAGAAAGGAAACTACAGGCCAATATTGCTGATGAACACAGATTCTAAAATCCTCAACAAAATACTGGCAAACCACATCCAACAATGCATTAAGATCATACACCATGATCAACTGGGATTCATCTCAGGGATATAAGGATGGTACAATATTCACAAATCAATAAACGTGAAACAGCACATAAACATAAAGAAAGACAAAAATCACATGACCATATTGATAGATACGGAAAAAGCATCTGATAAGGTACAGCACCCATTTATGATAAAAACTCAGCAAGTGGGAATAGAGGGAGCATTCCTCAACATAATAAAGGCCATATACGGGAGACCTATAGCCAACATCTTGCTCAATGGGTAAAAACTAAAAGATTTACCACTAAAGTAAGGAATGAGACAAGGATGCCCACTTTCACCACTTCTATTCAACCACTTCACATCGGTGAGAATGGCCATCACAATAAACAAATCAACAAACATGAAGTGTTGGAGAGGATGTGGAAAAAAGGGAACCCTAGTGCACTGCTGGTGGAAATGCAGACTGGTGCAGTCACTGTGGAAAACAGTTTGGAATTTCCTTAGAAAACTAAAATAGAACTGCCTTTTGACCCAGAAATTCCTCTGCTAGAATTATATCCTAAGAACCCCGAAACACCAATCCAAAAGAACCTATGCACCCCAATGTTCATAGCAGCACAATTACCAATAGCCAAGTGCTGGAAGCAACCTAAGTGCCTGTCAGTAAATGAATGGATCAAAAAACTATGGTACATTTACACAATGGAAGACTACGTAGTGGAAAGAAAGAAGGAGCTCCTACCCTTTGTGACAGCATGGACAGAATTGAAGAGCATTATGCTAAGTGAAATAAGCCAGGTAGTGAAAGACAAATACCATATGATCTCATGTTTAAGTGGCACCTAATTAAGAAAACAAACAAGCAAGCAAAATATAAAAAGAGACGTTGAAATCAGAGTAAACTGACAGTAAGCAGAGGGCAAATGGGAGGGGATAATGGGGGTGAAGGGAAAGGGTTCTCAGGAACATCTATAAAGGACACATGGACAAAACCAAGGGGGTGTGGAATCAAGTGGGAGGTGGGGATGGCTGGAGTGGGAGGGAGTGGTGGGGGAAAATGGAGACAACTGTACTTGAACAACAATAAAAAAATTTTCTTAAAGAAAAAAGAAAATAAAAATATTTAACTTTTAGAAAATGAATAAGGCACCAATTGAGAAAGACAATAATGTAGGAGGAAGAAGGGGGCAGGTTAAGGAAGGCTTCTTTTAGGAAGTGATTTTTGAGTCCAGCCCTTACAGGTGAGAAGAGTAATTGGTAGAAAATGTTGGGCAGAAGGTAAGCATGTGCAAAGAAAGGCATTTCTCTCAGAGAATCCCTGTGTTCTCTTCCTCAGTCCTGTTCTCACTGTGTTGGTCTTCTCTCCCTCAGGAAGCTCTTCTATCTGATCCACTGTATTCCTTCTTGATCTCACCTTCTATCTTTCCCTTTCCTTTTCTCCTCAATTTCCCTCTTTCCCTTTTAGCCAGCATATCATGTATAACAAAGGAATGTTTAAATTATTGGTTTAATAATTATTAAATTATCTATTAGCTAAACAATGAATATTTCTCTTAATTTTTTAAAAAAGTAGTCTGTGTAAATTGTCTTTAATGTAGATGAAATCTGCAGAATTTAACTCTGTGCCACTCGCTTGATATTCTTCCCTGTGAATTAGTATAATTTCACTAGAAAGAAAAGCAAACATTAATAATTCAGTGGATGGTAAGTGAAATCACTTACCAACTTCACTTAACCAGTTTTACAATACTATTCTGATGCATAAGCTAAAATCAAACCTAATCTAACCAAATCTTATGAGATCAATTCTCCTAATCATCAATAAAAAACAGTTTAAGTATTGTGTTTTCCCTCTTTTACAAATCACACATTTATAAATGTTTAAAGACTTTAAACAGGTACAAATGTTGAACAAAATTTCCAGTCCCAAAGCAATGGCTTTCTACAGTCTCACTAGAATGTTACAGTTAGTAATATCACTATATAATACCATTATAACAAGCATACCTTATTGTCTTCCCAATAAAGTGCAAAACATTCATCTCCAGGTTTCCACAGTTTTGCATACTCCATAGGAATAGATGATTCTAGTACTTTTTCTGGCTTAATTGGCCCAGATCTTCTTTTGGGCCCACTATTGTAAAATGTTTTATCATCATAGGGTGCAGCTGCGATGGGTCCTGCCGGCTTAATGGGTCCTACTCGCCTTCCCTTCAGTGGTACTTCCGTCTCTCCATTTGGAATACCAATGAAACTATTAGTTCGGACAGGATTCTGGTAATCAGTATTTACATTAAAATGTTTTTCGATTTTTATACCACTGAAAGCTTCATTATTTATTGTTCGTGGTTTCCTGTCATAAAAATAATCAGGATTTGCTGCTGTTTGGTTTTCTCTCTTCCCACGTTTTTGATTATTATAATCTATGGATTCTTGAGGAAGTGGACTTTCTTTTGCCTCTGCGTAGGATGGACCTCTTCCTGATCTGCTTTGCATAGAGTTATCCCTTTTTTTAAAAGCACCATCATTGTGCTGAGAACTTAAAGGGTATGAAATGTCTTTAGTTCTATCATATCTAGAATATGGTCTATCACATCTGATTCTCTCTTCAGCCCAAACTTCAGATCCTGAAGAAGTACTTGGTCTTTCAGTTCCCCTATTTCTAGGTAATCCACTGCCTTCTAAAACTGACTTTGAATTTTGGGTATCTCTTTGAAAACGAGGAGGTTTTTCATTTCTTGGCTGTCTGGTATCACTTCGAGGAAGATATCTTGATTGATTATTATCTTTTATTCCATTTTGCTCAGTATTCAGCAATCGGTGTTGTCCCTGATGAAGCTGCTGCGGTTGTGATTTAGGTTCTGAAAAGTAAATCATATGCATATTAAAATGATGACTCTCAATATTTATTTTAGAATGCCCAACAATTAGTATATTAATACAAAATTATCAAACTCCTATTTTAATCTTTTACCATCTTCCTTCCTCATTTTCCTCATTCCTCTCTGCTTCCTCAGACTCATATATTTCTAATGTAGTTTCCCAAGTCAGCCACATTAGTGAAGTAAAACAATGGTATGTATAAACCATGGAAAACTTGTGGATAATTTAAAAGCAATTTGTCTTTGTCATTGAATGTTTGCATTCTTATAGCTACCTATATATTCAACCTCAGTAATTCATTTCCCAAGACATTACTGAAATAGAACTGCAAACTGCTAACTGTGAAGCTGCTATAAACCTGCACAAGTTTATAACCATTGCTCAACTTCTTTCTGAATCCTACTCCAATTTAGGAAAGTATAGCTATTATTGTCAGTCAAATTCTAGCCTTTGCAAAAATGCTATTTCTCAAGTCTTTCTAAACCTGGAACTGCTAAGTGTTTGGATTACAAACAGATATCCCACTATAGAAAAGAATTAATAGTTTTCTTGACATATCAAAGTAGGTACTATTTGGAAATACAGAAAATTGTCAAAAATATAATTAGGCACAATAGTGCAAGAAATATCCAGCTAGATATTAAAACTAGTAACATGGTAAATATATACTGATAGATAACTTGACTGTTATTTCATAGAATGATTTTTATTCTATTCTATTGGTACCATGTCACTTATACTTTTCTTCCTCTATTATTTCACACAACAGGTCTATAACATTATTATGAAATATACTGATTGATCTTTGGTATACATGTCTTATTTCCCTTGTCATGCCCCATAATCTGGTCAATTCTGACCAAATATCAGGTAAGAATTATTCTTATATTTCCCAAGGATCACAATATTTCTCAACAAAGGCACTATTGACATTTTGGGTGAGACTGTTTCTTGCATTGCAAGAAAATTAATATCTTTGACCTCCAGGCACTAATTGCCAAAGCACACTCTCCCAGAATTCCTATTATTTCCATACATTTCCAAATACCCACTGGAGTCAGAAAGGTATCACCTAAAATGTTCAAGTTGACAGGGAGAAAAAGAAAACCTTTACAAGTTCCTCAGGGACAAAACAAAAGCATGGACTAAATATCAAGACTCAAAACAGGAAAACAAATAGACAAACAAACAAAACAAAACAAAACTTCTCAACAGAACCACTGGAAGTTGGAAGCCTATCTAATCTAACTGGTTTTAAATATCTTTGAAAATAAAGGAAAGCTTTTCTAAGTATAATTCTATATCCAATCAACTCACCCATTTTGTGACAAAGAATTAAGACTTTTAAATACACAAGATATCAAATACTAGCCAAGACCATTTACAGAGACATTTTCTAAAAATGACTTTTTCCCAAGATTTGCTTTTATAAATATAACACAAATATCTTAGTTTTAACACTTGAACTCAACGTTAAGTTTTCCTTAAAGAGAATAAAAATAGTCACTTTTAGTTTCTGCTGGCATTTTCCTTCTTTAACCCAGGAGTCAACATTCAGGGAAGCAAGAACAGTAGTGAATATAAGCAGTATACAAATGAGCACTTTGAGCAGAAAGCATATATTGGCATTTGTCATCCATTATTAGAGAATAAAAACAGTAGTCACCTCTTTCTATCTGCAGTGTGTTAGGTACCCCACACTCGCAAATATCAAATATTCCCTACTATAGTCTTGAGATACAGATGTTATAGAGTTTTATGTAATAAACAAAAAGAAAGTAAAGTCCCTCATATAGTGAATTAAAGAAATTTTTCAGCTTCTAAAGTAAGTCAAATATTAAGATATTTTACTTGTCATCAGTAGGCTTGAATACATATTTGAGATTTAAGCATTTTAGGGTGGTTGTATTTAGGGATCGATTTGTTTTATTATTCCAGTTAGGGCCACTAATATCTATGATGGTCAGAAAGTACAGATATATTAGGTCATTGCAAGAGTAACTAAGTATCCTGAACTGTAGACTGGGTTCTAGATAACCACATATAGAGCATGAAAGCTTCAACTAGGCATGGGAGAATTTGATTTCAGTTCTTCTAAAACAACAAAAAAGTAAAGATGTCCTGATTTACTTAATTGATGACATTCATTAGATTACAGAATAAAAAAGTGATTTTACTAATTATGAGCATACTTCATTTCCAATTATGTGCTAACATAATACAGTGAGAGAAAAATCTATAAAAAATTAATTTTAAATAAGAATTAAAAAAATTAAACTCTATGATGAAGAGGATAAAATTGTGCTTTTAAAAGAACAGTTTTCATATATACCCATTTCATTTCAAAATAAAATAATAAGCCAAAAAAAGAAAGTCCTTAAATATTTTATCATCCTCGAATTTCCTTAAACCCAGTACATTTTGCCTTAGACAGTTAAGTGATGTCAGATATAAAGTAAATATTTTAAAACTGAAATAGTCTATTAAAAAATAACAGAAAGTGCTCAATTACTAAACTATGGGAAGGTTAATTAAGAAATAAACCTGCAAATCAAATAGAAAGCTTCTCAGTGTTCCAGTCAAAATCTCCCTGCTCTCTGCTACCCTTCTTGAAGAGGTACGATGATTCCAAATCACCCAAAATGCCAACCAGCACCACAGGTCAGGTATACAATCACTCTAATAAAAAACGTATCGAGTTATTTTTCTGTAAACAACAGAATAAAATGCATCAACTTTTAAAAAATTACCTTCTCAGGTATAATTCTAACTAAAAATATAATCAGTGGTAATTATTTATTTCAAAGAGAAAAAAAATTGTACATACCAATATCCCAAAATTGATGTTTATTATAATAAATAATCCCAGAAAAGAATGGACACAAAAATTTACATTAAATTTTTTTCATTAGTTACTCAAAGACATACAGAAATATAAACAGAAATTGGTAACATTTAATAGTACACAGGAGAAAAAAAGGGAAAAAAGGGAAGAAAAAAGGGAAGATGTGATAAAAAAATTCATCACAAAATAACAAATTGAAAACATCTAAAAGATCAAAGTGAAAAAATCTCATATCAAAAAAACTGATCAAAGAATGGTGTATGAATTTAGTTTGACTTGTGATAAAATGTTGCTGTTACACAAGGTCAGGATTTTTACAATGATTAAAAGATATGGGATGACAATAGTTTTTACATCATCATGATTTGAAATCTAAGAATGAAGAATGAATTTATTGAGAATATTCATTCTCCAGTCACAGTTGTGCCTGCATCTCATAGTATAAAAAGGTACATTTTTGTTTCTTCATTTTATTTTGGGAGACCTACTTGAAGAAGTAGCTTAAAATTTACTAAGATTTTACTATGTGCCTGTCTCCATTTCACAGGTCTTTTGCCTACATTACTTCACGTAATTCTCATAGCCACCCAAAAGGGCCATAATATTATCTTTATTTTGCAAGTGAAGAAACAATGCAAAGCCAGCAGCTAGAAAATGTTGAAGCCCAAATTTAAACTCAAATCCAACTGAAGCTAAAGCCCACAATTTTTCCAAAATGCCAAGCTGCCTGCCCAGAGAAAGAAAATAAAATGCAACCAACAGCATTTCAGCTACAAGTTTATCACCTACATCTGCTCATTTCTAGGGATATGCAGAAATCACAAAAGCTCTTTAACAAACCCTGATAGACTGAAAAAAATTAAGTTGTATACTAGGATTGCCAGAATACTGACACAAAATTAATAATCTTTACATTAAAGCAGAAAAACTAAAACCCCTGTTAAGAGTTTGATTGCTATTCAGAAGCTCAACAACTGGCACTTAGTATAGCATGTAAGGTACGCCTTTGGAGAGAGCCTGCAGAGTTACAACACAGCTCTGCCACTTAGTAGTTCTGCAATCTTAGACAAGTTACTTAAATTTTGTGAGCCCTGGCTTTAAGATAGGGATAATATTAGCACCTACCTCAGAGGATTAAGCAAGTACTGAGAACAATAATTGGCTTTAAAAGGATTCAATAAATGTTAGCTCTCATTGTTATTATACATATTACCACTTATAATCATGCAAATAAACATAATTAACTGCATCAAGAAAAAACAATACTTGGACAAGACGCTTTCCTATTTACACAACTTCACCAACACCAACCCCATCTTTATTTAGAACCTTTACCTTGCTTTAATTTTTTTGTTTGGTTGGTTTTGGTTTTTTTCTTGTTAAAAATAGGGCAGAAAGAATTCTTTAGTGAAAATTGTTTGTTGTCCAATGATCAGATTCATATTATAGAGAAAATTTAGATATATTAGAAAAATCAAAATCACATCCTAATATGATTTATCACTTAAAAATATTATAAATAAAATTTCTTCTATATACCCTTTAAATTTTTCTCTATTAAAAATGCTAAGAAATGTTTTAAAAAGTAAAAATTACTTACAATCTTATATGAAGTGAAAGTTCTATCTTCTGATTGTTTAATACTACCTACCTCTAGGGAGAGCCACTGTTAGCAATTTCAGAGGTTATTTTTTCTTTTTAATTTTTCAAGAGAGAGAGAGGAAGGGGGAGAGAAAAAAGAGACAGAGAGAGAGAGAGAGAGAGTGATTTCTTGTCCCACTTGTTTATCCATTCACTGGTTGCTTATGTGTCCTGACCAAGGATCAAACTCACAACCTTGGATATTGGAACCAACTGACCTACCTGGCCAGAGCCAGAGGTTATTCTTTCTTTTTATATAATTCATACATACAACTCTGCTTGCCTATTCATTTACTTACTTATACAAAATGAACTCATGCACATTGCACAGGCTGTAGGATATTTTTTAAATTAACTGTATACTATGGGCATGTTTCCAAGTCAATGCATAGAGGTATCTCATTTATTTCAATATGGCATGTTTTTTAAAAGAGGATACTTTAAATATTAGTACATATTAACCAACTTGAGAGTAGGGTTGGTCTAAGTCTT